AAGGTAAGATACCAGGAACATGGAAAAAATGTTAAAAAAAAATTATCTATAAAAATTTCGAAGTTATGAGGGTTTAAAGTTTGCACTTTGACTCTATTTATTGCTGTTGGAAAAATAATTTAATAATTTTTTTTGCTATAGGCTATTAAAAGAGGAAACAAGGAAGTTGTATCCTAAATTGTAACTTTGTTCAATGTTATTTGTGGCTTTTATTGGCAAGATTTTTGTCCCTTTACTAAATAATTGTAAAAAAACCATATACAAGATCATCAGTATCATTAAATAGATATAAAAAAATGTCAAATGTCAAAAAATAAATGTCAAATTTTTTTGACAAATAGAATTTTTTAAACATTTTTTCATGTTCCCGGTATCTTATACCTTACTTGAAAATTTTCTCTGGGGCGCCAGTTCTGGCGCACCTGTATATATTTTCCATCTGTAGAATGATAATGATTTCAGTGTTCATTTTTTTATATTTCTGTAATAAGTTTAACTCATCAAATGTTGCTGATCTACTTCACAAAATGCTATAGTATATTATACAACGAGCGTATAATGACTCGGTGATTTACGCCACTCGTCTGCGGCTGAATAATAACCATTATACGCGAGTAGTAGTATACTATACTTTATCCACGACTACTAAATATTTTTGTTGAAACTTTTTTGTTGGAAAATTTTGTTACATGGAATGTTAAGAAACAGATATACGACACACACATTCGAAGTTGGTGATGGGCTGTGTAGATGCTGGTTGCCTTCCAACCTGGGTTCAAATCTGGTCAAGGAAAATTAATTTTTAAATTTTTTTTTATATGTACAGAACTGAATTGAAAATATTCAGTGGTTTACACGATAACATTTTAAAAACCAATAATTGTTTGTAGCAAAACAATATAATATTATAGCTAAATCAAGGAAGCTTCTGATAGCAGTGATTAATGACTCATGGGTATCAATGGGCATTAATCACGGCAGTGATTAATGGGTATTATTAAGATCGAGGAAACAGACGTATAAGGGGTATGTACATTATTCAATAGTCGTGGATAAAATTATTTATGTTAAATTCAAATTAATTATTGATTGATCAATTTTTGTGAGAGATTAATATGTATGTACGTAAGGGGAAATATTATTATTGGTCCTTTTCTCTCAAAACGTTTATTTGCTACATGTTTCGGTTCATTTTTGTAATGGCTATCTTCAGGCAATAATTTTATAATTCATCGCGCCTAATCGACACCACTTCACTGAGCCCAAACATGTAGCAAATAGACAGCTTGAGAGAAAAAAACCAATATTTCCCCTTACCTAAATTGAAATTATTTAAAAATTAAAAAAAAAATAATTGAAATGATCTGGTAATTATTTTTTTATTTTATTTTTACAAAAAATATAACCACAAGTTATAATATAAAGTAAGCCACATGAATTCAGTTATTAAAAACGCCTTTGGGAAATCTCCCATAATACACTTGGAATAATCCTCCTATACGTAAAAACACCATTATGCAAATTTGAACATCAAAATCGCTTTCAAATTTAAAAATTTACAAAAGAACATCACATATTTTTAATTGATAAGAATTAAACATATCGAAATATGTTTGTACCTTTTATGTAGCTACGAAAATGAATAATATCTCTCCTAAATCTCTTCAGCGATAATTAAATATCAATTTTTCCAAATCTAGGGATTAGAGTGTGGACATTGTACGGATAACCGAAAATCGATAAGTAAATGCAGAGTATCAAGACCCCTATATTTTTTCAATAACCATCACCTGATGATAAACTAATCGCAAAGTGAAGATGTTTTGACTCGTCTTATCAAGTAACGTTTATTAACACTGTTTACAATACAACCGTTCCTAACAAGACAAATATAAAAAAACGATAATAACAATGGTCCCCTGTTTACAAAACCGAAACATGTCTCCTATATTTGCAAAACAATCAATCCCGGAGTCAAAGTCTTTGACATCACCGACAGAGGGCGCTCCTTTAATCTCCGGTACCAGCTGATTACCCGTTCCCACTCCCACACGTCCATGACGTCGATACAGCGACTCGTGTTCTGATTGGCCGATTCTGCCTTCCTGTTTATAAATACCACGTTGCCACACGCACAGCTGATCGGTATAACCAGCTGATGGGTCGGTCGTCCCGTGTCGAAATCAAGGTTGGCAGGGCACGTGCGGCCTTTGTTTTCAAAACGCACTGCGCAAAATCACCTAATACGATGATCTCAAGGAAATCTGGCGCATTACACTACTTACTTTAGGTACACCAATAAGAATCAAGGTGTTGGGAAAAAATATATAGGCAAACGCAATTTTAGCTATTGCGTAATGATTCGCAAGAATCGAAGGTCGATCAGGACTTTCAACTTGGATCCTGGAGGTGGTGTTAATGGCCTCAGTTTTAAGTGATTATTTGCATATTCATTTGTTCGGAAATTATATATGGCGACTGTTTTTGATCTGATAAGGCTAGGGATGGCTTGAGGTGGCCAAATAGGAGGGTGAATAGTCTACATATGGCTGAATGGAGTATAAATAATAATTATATTTCAAATTTGCAATTCTAAACGAATCAATTTAATAATATGTAATTGTAAACAAAGTAAGACAGATATGAAAATAGAGAAGTACGGATAAGGTACCATTGATTTGGGTAGATAATACTACAGTAACATCAAATCCATATAGAAAATGGCAACATCGCAACTGCATTTTTTGAGATCAATTAAAAGGAATAGGAGCAGATAAAAAACAAAAACATTAATCTCATTTTTGTAAATGACTAGAACAGAATACTATACGAATAAATAATTCAAAACATTTTAGATAAAGATGTTATACAACGTTTGAACAACTTATGACTGAGCTTGGTTACAGCTATCAAAATTCCTGCAAATACGGGTGACTTTGGTCTCTACTTTCATTTTGATAAGATATGAATATGAAAATTTTTAGCTTATTTTTGAAGTTTGTGCTAAAAACTTTGTTTTTCTTAATTTACATTTTAATAAAAGCTAACAAAATTTTATAGTCGTAGTTAATAAAACCATAACCCGCATACACTAACATAAACAATGGCAACATTATCAAATTTATCTCGAAATTTTCTTACTAGAACTTGTTTTTTTTTGTGTTGGTCGGAAAATAAAACGAAAAATTACCAATAACACTGAATTGCTAAAACTGTTATGTTGCCTTTGTTCTTGAATATCCGGTAGTTTTTGATAATTTTTAACCTACGACATCTTACAAGTAATCTAATCATTTTTTAACCAACATTTAAAATTCCTCATAATCGGTCATAACATTTGCAATTAAAACGCAAATCCATTATCAAACTTTCAAGATCTATTATCCACGGTCAGTAACGATTCAGAAAACTTGCGAAATCCTCAATTAATGACATAGCAGGTTAATAAATTTAATTAATTTTACACCTGATCAAGGTAGGTAACGGTGAAGCTTAAAACCGGTCAATAATCGCCTAAAAGTAACTTTCGCCTAACTGAAATGTCAACACTTTTCGACATTTCCTGTGATATTGATCAGCCCTATGGTCACGATTCAAATTCGAGACTGCGCATCAACCTGTTACCGAAATTTTCAATATCCTTACATCCTTGAAATTTTCTACTTCGGATGGTTACTTCGAGTGAAAGGAACGCAATAATTACCGAAAATGGCAAATGCGTATACACCGATTTCACTCGAACAGCGAGTCGAATTAAATTTGGCATTTTGACATTCTTTCACAACGTTGGTAGTACTATTTTAACTTTTATTTATTTTACTTTATTAATACATGGGTAGACGAAAATCCTTCTTTCGCATGTAGGTAGGTATTTTTAAAATACCTAATTAATTAGT